GGTGGATAGAGTGCTTGACCTGGAGTCAAGAAGACCTGAGTTCCTTTGGTGTCCACCTGGCACTCAGCTCTCACCTGTGGCTCCAAGAAGTGTAGCATGCACAGCAGCCACACCCCAGTAAAATTACCTTAGCACGTGGGCTAAACCAAGTTGAGGGCAACCGTGGTTTGAGGCCATGAGTTAGGGGGGTATCTACCTTAAATATGTAAAGATTCCCAGGTGAATGAAAACAATTTGTTCCAACAGACATGAAGGTGGATGAAGAAGCAGGAGCTGTGGAGTGCTTAGAGCTTGGTCAGACATCAAAGACACCAAGGTAATCTACTCATTCCAGGCCATCGCCAGTCATCCTGACTTTTGTCTTGCCTCTAGACTTCAATGACTCTGCAAGAGAGAGTGAGGCTGACGACTTTGAGCAACTCTACCTCACTTAAATCCAACTCACACTTGAGTTAAGACATCACCCAGTGATGACATTGGTCCTCTTTGAAAACAAAGGACAAACAACAACAATGAATACAAACGCTAGACTTGTAGTCAGGAGAGACTCAATTCAAATCCTGCCCCTGACAGTCTCTCTGACCTGCCTCAATCTGTCAAGTCTAAGTTTCCACATCTGTAAAATGGGGATAATAACATTAGTAATATCTACTTTCATAGAATGACTGTAAGGTTTAAATGAAATCATATATGAAAAATGCTTTGTAAACCATAAAATGCCATATCAATGTCATTTTTGGTTATTTCTGAACAATAACTGACATTGACATAGCATTTGAGAGTTTATGGTGTTTTACTTGTGTATGTGTGCATATTAATATGTATATGTATATATAATGTGTATATGTATATATAATGTGAGTCCGTGTATGTGTATACACATACTTATATACAAATGTACTCTCTCTCCAAGCTTACACAAACAAAATTAAAGCGTATCTAGGATAAGAAGAGGAGAAATCAACTGGGAGAAAAATCTTTGTATCAAATATCCTTGATAAGAGTTTGGAATCCAAGATATGCAGACAACTAACAGAAATACATGTGACCAAAAGCCATTCCCCACTAGACAAGCAGTCAAAGGATATGAATGGTTTTCAAAAGAATTCAAACTATTAAAAACCATGTGAAAGAATTCTCCAGATCACTTATAAGAAAAATGAAAATCAAAACAAACCTGAGGTTCCATGTCACAGCCAACAAAGACAACAAAAATGAGAATGGTCAATGTTAGAGGGGCTGTGAAAAGATGGGTATAATGACACATTGTTGGTGGAGCTGTGGATTGGTATAGCTATTCTAGAAAGCAACTTGGAATTTTGCGAATTAAGTGACTAAAATGTCAATACTCTGTTACTCAGAGATTTTATTGCTAGGCATATATCCCAAGGAGGTCACTGACCACCCATCCCCCCAAAAAAGACTTCATATACACTAAAAGAGTCAATGTCCATGGACTAGGGAATAGCCAAATTGTGGTACATAAACATAACAAAATATTGCTGTGCTGTAAGCAATGATGAACATGATATATACAGAGAAGCATGGAAAGACTTACCTGAACAGATGCAAAATGAAGTACAAAGAACTAGAAAAACTGTATGTACAATAATTATAATAATGCAAGCAGAAAAAACAACGACCACAAAACAATTGAAAATGAATACTGCAAAATGATAAAGAACAAACTTGGCCTCAAAGAAGATATAATAGAAGATACCTCCCCCCCCCTTTTTTTTGCAAACGTAGGGGGATGGATGGCCCACAGATGAGGATTTATGTTGTTTATGATTCAGTCATTTTAGACTCTTCATGACCTCATTTGGCAGTTTTCTTGGCAAAGATACTGGAGCAGTTTGCCATTTCATTCTCCAGCTCATTTTACACATGAGGAACTGAGGCAGACAAGGTTAAGTGATTTGCCCAGGGTCACACAGATAGTAAGTGTCTGAGGCCAGACTTGAACTCATGAAGATGAGCCTTCCTGATTCCAAGTCTAATGCTCTATCCATTGTGCCATGGATGAGAAATATTGATATACTCTCAGATGTATTGATGTACAGATTGATTTTGATCACTTTTTTCCTCTTCTTTTCCTTTTTTTTTTTGATCTTCCTCAAGAGGAATGGAGGCAAATGGGAAAGAATTCAGCCATTATAAAAAACAGAAACTATCAAAAAAAACCTTTTTTTTTTAAAGAGCCTTCAATTCCAAAAGACTGATGTTGGAAAATGCTATCCACATCCAGAGAAGGAACGATGGAGTATGAATGCAGATCAAAGCATACCATTTTCTCTCTCTCTCTTTTTTTTTTGTTTCTTCTTTCTTGTGGTTTTCCCTTTGGTTCTAATTCTTCTTTACAATATGACTAATGTGGAAGTATGTTTAATATGATTGTACATGTATAGCCTATATCAGATTGCATGCTGTTTTTGGAAGGGGGGAGTGGAGGGAGGGTGAGAAAATTTAGAATTCAAAACCTTATAGAAGTGAATGTTGAAAACTAAAAACAAATAAATACTTTTTAGAAACTCTTCAAGAAAAGTCTTCATGGGTGGTGTCAAGATGGCAAAGTAGCAAGATGAAATATAGCCCAGCTCCTCCAACACACCTCCTCCATAAAGATCTAGAAAATGTTCCAGACTAAGTCCTGACCAGGAAATCAAAGAAAAAAACCACAGTGAGGAATTTTTCTAGCCCAGGTCAGCTTAGAGGGACCGACAGAGAGGTTTGCAGCAGTTCTGAGAGGTACTTTCTGTTTTTATATTCTATTCCCCTCCAAGCACTCTACTATCCAACATACTGGCCCACATACATTTCCTCAAACACAAAACAACATCTCCCAGTTCCATGCCTTTGCATTGGCTTTTCCCCACACCTGAAATACTCTGACTCCTCACCTTAGTGTCTTAATTTTCCTGGTTTCCTTCAAATCCCACCCTCTGCAGGATGCTTTCCTGGTCCTTACACTACTACCACCTTCCCCTCCCATATTATCTGTCTACTCTATGTCTTGTAGGTACCTAGTTATTTCCATGTTCTCTCTCCTACTAGAATGTGAGCTCCTTGAGGTCAGGTACTGGTTTTGCCCCTTGTATATTCCCAGTGTTTAGCAGAGTGCCTAGAAAATATTAAGCACTCAATAAATTCTTGTTAACTTACTGATCGAACTCATTTATCTGACTAACTCTACCACTAACCAGTTGTGGAACCTTGAACAAGTCACTTTGTACCATGGGGGGGGGGTATGTGTGGGTGTGCACACGTATTAACTAAATCTGTGATTTCATTAGTCTGGGGGACTCCTGGTATGGAACTTTTGCTACCAATGCAGAATGACATCTTTGTACCTTAAAGTTGCCTAGAGGCATTGAGTGATCAAGTAACTTGTCTATGGTCACACAGACAGTCATGTCAGAGGCAGGATTTGAACTCATATTTTCCTGACTTTGAGGCTAATTCCCTACTACACCACATTGCCTCATTGTGTGTATGTATATCCTGTAGCCTTCCTCTGTATTTCTATATTCACACAGAAGCTACAAGAAATCAAAGTACAGGGGCAGCAAGGTGGTACAATGGATAGAGCACTGGCCCTGGAGTCAGGAGGACCTGAGTTCAAATCTGGCCTCAGACATATAACACTCACTAGCTGGGTGACTCTGGGCAACTCACTTAACCCCAACTGCCTCGAAAGAAAGGAAGGAAGGAAGGAAGGAAGGAAGGAAGGAAGGAAGGAAGGAAGGAAGGAAGGAAGGAAGGAGAGAGAGAGAGAGAGAGAGAGAGAGAGAGAGAGAGAGAGAGAGAGAGAAAAAAGAAAGAAAAGAAAAGAAATCATAGTATTAAAAGGGTACCTGGCCAATAATACCACCAGCTAGCATTAAACTTCCTCATTTCTAAATGTATTAGCTCCTTTCACCACCCAGACTTGACCTAGCACTTGGGTGTGGGTGTGCCAATCTCAAAGACTCTGTTGTCGTGACTTAAGTATGACTCAGGTGACATACTAACCTTGGCTCATTGTCCTCACCTCACAATGGTGTCCCTATGCCAGAATTCTTACCTTGGCTCTCAGTTCTTCCCAGCTTTGAATTCCCTGGGATTTAACTCGCTGTTGGGTTTTAATCAGTGATGCACCTCCTCATGTAGTCACTACATCATCCCTCCTCTCCCTCACTGAGAGATTTCAAAGAATCGACAGCTAAGCAATCTCCAACATCAAGAAGCTTCTTCTCAAAGTTTTCAAAGGTCAATCCCCTTCCTTTCATAGGATGCACATGAAGAGTTGAGCTCTCAAAGTGTCCCGGAAACCTTATTCTTTTCTTTATCACCTCCTCTCTACAACATTAGCTACAGGCAGCAGTAAAGGAAGGGAAACCAGAGACTCTACAAATATTAATGCATTTCAAGTCAATTCAACTCAGTTCACTTTCACTGAGAATCTTCACAGGGAAAAACTGGTTATTACCTGGTTAGTAGCTAACATGGAACAAGGATACCCAGAGGTGCTTGCTTCTTGAAGAGCTCTTAATCTCATTAGACCAAGGCAGACTAATAGAATCAAAGAATTTGCAGAGCTAGAAGGGATCTTAGAGATAACTCATCCACCCACTCCATTTTGTACATGAGTGCACCACAAAAGTTAATTGTGTACCCCACAATTAGTTATTGCTAGAACTGATGGCTCTTCAGTCTTTTAGGTGTATATCCATCCTTTATAGCCCAATCCAAATACCACCTCCTCCATGAAGGCTTCTCTAACCCTCTCAGTAACAACTTTCTCTCTGAGATTTCACATTGTCCTTTGCTTTGCACCTCTCTGATATATGTATCATGCAATAGGATGCATTATAGTTATTGTGTTTGTGTCCTGATTACTAACCTCATAAGATTTTAACTCCATAAGGGCATGGACTGTGTCTTATCTTAACTTTGTACCTCTCCCAGCACCTAGCACAGTCATTTGAAGCATACAGTAGGTGCTTCATAAAAGTTTATTGAATGTGGACTGTATGCTTAGGGATAAAGTTTCCTTCCCTTCACGTACCATAACCACTACCTCTTAAATACATCACCATCTCTGTGCCAACATCCAGATGAAAAGGGGGAAAAAAAACACATACAAAAAAATAGCATTGGAATGTTCAGTCTGCTAGACAAAACATCTAGATGACTCACTGAATTTAATTTTCATTCTTCAGTTCGGTCCTCAGGTAAACTCACCCAGTGATCCCCGAGGGCCTTGGACAAGAAGTCTTGGGCTTCACCCCATCTTCATGGTGCTCATTCAGTTTCCTATCTTTTCTAGTTCCTGCCCTCAACCCTGGGGTTCCTGAGACCCTAAGTCTCAGAAGTCCCCATTCCAACATTCCCAACCCCAGGCTGACCTCTCCTGGCCAGAGCCAGCAGCGGCAGTTTGGCAGGAGAACAGAAGAATGAGAGTCGTCCGCATTGATTTTCTTTCGCCTTTTCGTTCTTCTTATAGAGAGCTGGGGCATTAGAGGGAGAAGGGGGATGAGAACAGAAAATAACAAGAGGAGTTGGTCCTCTCCCCACCCCAGACTCCAGCTGTCTGCCTAACAACACAAAAGCAGTTTCCAGCAAAATCTGAAGAAAGAAAAGAGAAGGGAAGAAAAATTTCAAAAGGAGGGCTAATTTGTACAGCAATGGACAGCTGCATTTGCATAATGAAATGTAGAGAGGATGTTTGGCTCATGTATTTTTTAGAAGGTTTAGGTTTAATTTTATTTAGCTTAAGAAGGGCATGTCACTCAAACTCCACTGGTCATTTATAAAAATATTTCACTTGTGTTTCCAAGGAGCTGTCTCTCTAAGCCTAAGTGGCTGCTGCCCAAGGTTGTGAATGCTAATGTAGAGGTTGGGAGCTCCGGGGAATAAGGAAAAGAGCCTGACATTCAACCCTGAATGGAGGGCCTTGACTAGATGGAAGGACGGCCACCCTTGGCTAAATACTAAAGCCAGGGATCGTTAATCAGGATGGAGATGTCTCTTAAGGACTCCAATTTCCCCTCCCCAGGCAAAGAGGAGGGACAATTATCCAACTCGCTTAGAATCATAGTGTTATAGAATATCAAAGCTGAAGAGACTTTAGAGATCAGATCTAAACACCTCTTTTTACAAATGAGGAAAATGAATTATGATGTCATACGGTCATAAAATGGCAAAGCCGGAAGGGTCCTTAGAAGTCATCCAGTCCAATTCGTCACTTGATAAAGAAAATGAATATCAGAGACTTTAAAGGACTGTGCTCAAGACCACACAGTATCAGAAGTAGGATTAGAACCTGGGTCTTCTCACTCCAAGTCCAGAGGTTTTTTTACCTATAGGAGGAACACGGAAGAAATAGCTTTAAAAACCATCATAGAAGCAAGGTATCTATTCGCTAAGGCTAAGGCTAGGGTGCAAACTGAGGCAGCTGTTGATGGAGTCTGTCTGAGCCCGTTAGGCGAGGTGGACAGGGTGGGGAGGGGAGTGGAGGGGACTACTCTGGTGCTGGCTCCAACAGCCTGATGGGAGGGGACTCCATATGGCCAGATAGCACCTAGCAGCCGGCATCTCGGCACACACTAATCCTGCTGTCAGCCAGTCTGGGACAGTGGATTAGGAAATGTCACATTTCAAAATAAATTATTTCCATTTTTCTCCCTAAGAAGGAAAGAGACAGATAAAGCAAGATACAAAACAAGCGAACCCACCCATCCAGGGGTCATCCATCCACTGAGGTCAACATCCCAGGGCCTCAGACAGGCTGCAGTCTTCTCTCGGCAACACCTCGACTGTCACCCTGGAAATGACAGCAATTGGCTCTTTGAATTCATCGGGACCAAGGACAAATGGATTTCGCAGTTTATCAAGGGAGGGAAGGGGCGCATCAGTGACTCATCAACCATGAAGCCCCTTTGACCCTCTCTCTTCTCCCTCCCCCAAGCTGAGTGCTGTAATCACTTCTGACCCGCTTCTTGGCCTCCTAGAGACAGTGAGTCTCTGAGAAAGGAGTTAGGCCCCTGGACTGAATCAGCTTCTCCAGTTCCTCAGGGACCCAGGTCATTTCTCTGGCCCCAAAGACCTTCACTTTCCCCAGTTTCTCTTGTAGTTCAGCTCAGATGGACAATCCAACAGACAAAGGAAAGTTCTCTTCCTCCCCACCTCCACGGTTTACTCCGCTCCTCCTTCTCCAGGCTTCATCTCAGACAATAGCAAATACCTGCCCCCGGAAATTATGGGTTTGTTAATTACAAAAGTAATGCCACAGTATCAGCAATTAATGAATTCTAATCTGGCCTTTGAGAGAGGTCAGCCACACAATCACCCTGCTCGCCTCCTGCAGCAGAAGACCAGCCTGATGGATATTGTGATTGAAATATATTTGTTTGGAGTTATTAGATACTATCTGCAATCAATCCATTACCATAAACTTAAGCTTCCACGTTCTTTCATTTTAAATGAATTTTCATATCACATTTCCAAATAAGCATTGCCTCCAGTCAACTCTTATTTATCTAATAACTCCATGCAGATATTTTATTATATTTCAATGAAAGGCGTGGAAAACTATTACCTTGTGCTAGATTTGGGTGTCAGGGAGGGAGATGATGCTGATGAAGGGAAAGGAAGGAAAACACTGTCCCCCACATTGCTCAGTCTCGAGAGAATGGCCCTCCCTGCCCTCTCTCCACCTGCTCCTCTTCCCCAGATTTAATCAGGGAGTCTAGGTCTTAAAGAGCAATAAGGAGCAATACTTCCCAACTTATTGCAGTTCATTGTACACAAATGAACCTGCCAATATGAACATAAAGGCATAGTTTGGGAGATCATTCCATCACTCCCCAGCACCATCCAACCAGTCATTTGCCCAAACTAACGAGGCATCTAGATTCTATTTCTCTCTTCCTCTCTCTTTCCCTTGCCCTGCCCCCCATTCTCCTTCTCTCTCTCCCCCTCCCTTTTTCTATCTCTCCCTCGTTCTCCCCCTCTCCCTCCCTCTTTTCTTCTCCCTCTTCCCCCTCTCTCTCCTTTTCTGTTCCTCTCTTTCTCCCTTCCATCTATCTCTCCTCTTTCTCCTTCTCTCTCTCCTCTATCTCCTCTCTCTTCTCTCTCTCTAACCCTCTTTCTTTCCCTTCCTCTTTTTCTCCCTCTCTTTCCCTCTTTCTCTCTCCCTCTTTCTTTCTTTCTTTCTTTCTTTCTTTCTTTCTCTCTCTCTCCTTCCCTCTCTCTTTCTCCTTTCCTCTGTTCCTCTCCTCTCTCTCTCCCTCCCTCTTTCTCTCTCTCCCTCTCCTTCCCCTTCTCTTTCCTTCTCTCTTTCCTTGTCTCTCTCCTTCTCTCTCCTTCTTTCTCTCCTTACCTCTCTCCCTCTCTCTTTCTTTTTCCCCTCTCTTTTTCTTTCTCTCTTTCCCTCTTTTTCCCTCTCTCTCTCTCTTCTTCCCTCTCTCTCACTGTCTCTCCCTCTACCATTCTCTCTCCCTCTCTCTTCCTCTTCCTCTCACTCCTCTTTCCCACCCTCTCTCTTTTTCTTTCTCCTCTCCCCTTCCTTTCATTCTCTCTTTCCTTCTCCCTTCCCCTCTTTTTTCTCTCCCACATGCATACATACATACATACATACATACATACACCCTACTTCCTGTCTTTAGCCACCTCTATCCTGTGTCTATAACTGGCAGACAGAAATGAAGGAATCCAAGCCATTAGTACACACAAAGACCATATCAAAACAGCAGTATATTGACATTCTCAGGCAAACATTATGCCTTCTTTCAACTCTGGAAGTTCCTTGTCCCCTTTTAGTGTACCTACTGCCCCTATACTGCTCCCACTGAGTGCCCCCCTGGCAGATCTTTCCTTCAATCCAGACCTCTCTCTCCCATCTTCCTCAGCCTGACTCTACTCTCTTCCTTCAGAGACCTGCCCTCTATGAAGTGACCAAGGGACTTCTCATATATCACTCTGTCACACACCACAGCCCGTGCCTGGAAAATAACAAGTGCTTAATAAATGCTTGATGATTGATTGAGTGATCAGCGGTTTCATCTTGAGGATTTTTTTTTTTGCTATTGATCACAGTTCCTCCACACCTTAACCAATGGTCATAGTGAGTTGTGACCCAAAAATTCATCCCCTTCAAGGTCAGTTTGGTGTTGAGCTTATCTGAACCTAACTAGATGGCAGATGGCAGACATGCAGCACATTGCCAGCCTAGCCAGCTTGGCAGGCAGGATCTGCCAGAGCTTGTGATCCATTGATACAGGCTTGGAAGAGCAAGAGTTACTTCTAGTCACCATGAGGCATTGGAGAAAGCAAAGGCAAGGCAAAGCAACAAGCATTTATTAAGCACTTCCTGTATACAAGGAACTGAACCAAATGCTGGGAATATAAATATAAATAAAATTACAGTCCTTGCCCTCAAGGAGCTTACATTCTAATAAAGGAAAATAACCCACAAAGGAGAGCTGAAAGGGCATGGAGGAGGGGAGGGAAATAGAGGAGAGAAGAGTATCCATGCAGAAGCATGGGGTCAAAGTTCAGAAAGTCAGAAGTAGAGCCAGGAGAGGAATGCAGGTTGGCCATCCTGAGCCCCTCTCCAAAATGGAGGCTCCAAGAAGAACTCACCAATCAGAGAAGGGGCTTGGCATGGCATATGGATGTTTCATGGTGAGGAGGTGCCAGGAGCTGAGGGAAGTTCCAGGGAGAAACTGCAGCAGAGGCATAGTGTTGATGCCTGGAATGTCAGAAGCAAAGCCAGAAGAGGAATGAAGACCATGGGTATTCATAGATTTGTTAAGCAGACAGACTCATTCAAATTAGTATTAGCCAATATGTCACCCCTTCCAAGTAACACATAATTTTAAACCAGTTAAAATGTACATGAGTTTATTCATCCCCCATTTATTAAGTGCCCACTACACACAAAGTACTATGCTATATACATTGAAAGAGATACAACAATAATTATGACATAGTTCCTACTTTCTTGGACCTTAAAATCTAAGAAAAGGACTACAACAGATATACAAATGAATGGTACAATACTGGAAAACTGTAACACCCTTTCTTGGATACTTCCTCAAACTCGTACTCACAATGGTGGATTGGGTCATCAAAGAGATAACTGCTACCTCAGTCTTGGAGTAGGAGTTGTCTTCATTGCTGCTAATATGTGGCATGAAGCTGGAGAAAATCACAAAACTGATAACTGGATACACTATAAATTTATGTTACATAATCTCAACTGGGCCCTCATTAGAGCAAGGCAATTCTTTTAGACCTCCCTAATAGACTTACTATGCCAATCACTACAGTGAGTTTTTCCTTCTTGATTCCTCTTCAAACCTCACATGCCTCTCCCTTTCCCTCCCTCTCAGTTGAGAACCTTGACTCTTATTTCAGTGAAAAAAATAAGTCCATTCATTGAGTTGTTACTGTCATTCATTAGTTTTTCAGTTGAGTCTGACCCTTAATGACCTCATTTGGGGTTTTCTTGGCAAAGATGTTGGAGTGGTTTGCCATTTTCTTGTCCAGCTTATTTTACAAATGAAGAAACTGAGGCAAACAGGGTTAAGTGACTTGTTTAGGGTCACACAGCTAGTAAGTGTCTGAGGCCAGATTTGAACTCAGGAAGATGAGTCTTCCTGACTCCAAGCTTAGTGTTCTATCCACTACACCACTGAGCTCTATCTTATAACTTCCTCATATCACATCTCAGATGTTTTCGGCCACTATCTCCTTCATTTCTATCTAACACGAAGAGATAGCTCTTCTTCTTACCAAGCCCAATTCCTCTTGGTCCCTTTCCTGTGCATCTTTCTGTAGAACTTTTCCCCCATTACCATGCCCATTTTCTCTTATATTCAATATTATCTTATCTACCAGCTCTTTCCCTGCTGCCCGCAAACATGCTTATGTATCCTCCAACCTCAGAAAACCCACACTTGATCCATCCATCCCTGTTTGCTATCATCCTTTTTCTCTCATCTTTCTAATGGCCAAACTTCTTGAGAAGGCCATCAAAAATCAATGGCATAACTTCCGTTCTTTTCACCCTCTTCTTAACCCTCTGTAGTCTATCTTCCAACCTCAATATGCAACTGAGTTTGTTCTCACCAAAATTAATGCACTCTTAATTGCTGAACCTAATGGTCATTTCTTTTTCTGGTGCCAAATAAGACTGTAATATGGAGCAATATAAATATATGCATACTATCTAACCTATACGCAATTATTTCTTGATTTATTTTTCCAAATAAGTTTTTATTCAAGTCTTCTGTTTCTAACATCATCATAGTTATCTCCAGTATCTTCCCCCCTCCTCTCCTAAAGAACAATCCCATATAACAAATTTTTAAATAGGAAAAAAGTGGCACAATGGATTAATACATAGAAAAACTCTGAAAATATGTGTAATTTATAATACCTATGGACCTCTTACCTCTATGAAGAGATGAGTTGGAGGCATCCTCTCATATATCTTCATTCAAATCATATTTGATCCCTATGATTTCATTATATTCACTATTGATCTTTTGGTGTATGGTTATTCTTTCTTTTTACGTTGCTGTAGTTATTGTGCATATTGTTTGCTTGGCTCTGCATACTTTACTCTGCATCAGTGCATGTAGATCTTTCCATGCCTCTTTCTATTCATCACATTCATCTTTTCTTATAACACAGTAATATTCTATTATATTCATGTACCACAATTTGTTTAACCATTCCCCAAATGAGAGGCATCTACTTCATTTCCAATTCTTTGCTATCACAAAAAGTGCTGCTATAAATATTTTTGTGTATATGGAGACTTTGTTCTTATCAATGACTTCCTTGAGGTATATGCCCAGTAATGGAGTGGGTGTGAACAATTAATAACTTTATTCACATAATTCCAAAATGCTTTCCAAAATGATTGTAACATGCCACAGTTCTACCAACAATTTATTAATGTGCTCTCACTGCACAACCCTTTCAACATTTAATGTTGTCATTTTTTGTTGTCTTAGCCAATTTGCAGGGTATAGGGTGAAACTTTAGAGTTGTTTTGATTTGCATTTTTTATATTACTAATAATTTGAAGCATTCCTTCATGTGGTTGTGAATAGTTTGCAATTCTTATTTTGAGAACTGTTCCTATCCTTTGACCACTTAGCTATTAGAGAATGCTATTAGTCTGATATGTATTTATTCATTCTATGTATCTATTTATTAATAGATACATATGTGTATAATATATATATGTATATATATATATGTGTGTGTGTGTGTGTATGTGTGTGTGTATACATATATATGTATATGTCTTGGCTAGCAAACCCTTATCAGAGAAGTCTGATACAAAGATTTTTTTTGCTATTTTACTACTTCCCTTTTATCTTAGTTACATTAATTTTGTCTGCGCAAAAGCTTTTCAGTTTCTTGTAATCAAAATTGTCTACTTCATATTCTGTAATTACCTTCATCCTTTCTTTGGTTAAGAGTATATTTGTTCCCATTCTGTGAAAGACATATGATCTGAGTTTCCTATAATTTTGTAGCACGATCCTTACTATTAAGGTCATGAATTTATTTGGAATATATTACGGAATATGGCACAAAGCGCTCATCTGAGCCTAATTTCTGCCAGGGTGCTTTCCAGTTTTTTAAGCAGCATTCATCAAATAAGCAGTTTTTTTCTAGATAATTTATGTTATCCATTTTATCAAACGTTAGGTTATTCAGTTTCACTGTTTCTTATTCTCCCTTATCTAGTCAGTTCCATTCATCTATCAATCTATTTTTAAAACCAATGCCAAATAGTTTATATGACTGCTGTTATATGATATAACTTGAAGTTTAGAAATATTGTTCTCCCTTCATCTCTATTTCGTCAGTTCCCTTGATAATCTAGGTCTTTCGCTTTTCCAAACAAATTTTGTTATAATTTTATGAAGTTCTATAAAGCCTCTCCTTGGTAGTTTAATTGTTATAGATTCAAAGTATACACTAACTTTGGTAGTATTATCACTTTTATTATGGTGACATGGCCTAGCCATGAGCACTGAATAGTTCTCCATCTATTTATGTTGTTCTTTTATTTCTTTAAGGAGCATGTATGCTTTTGTATGCTTTGGTTGTTAAATCCCCAGATATTTTACGCATTTTGTAGCAATTTGTAATGGGATTAGCCTTTCTATTTTTGTTTTTGGATTTTGTTATTATCATATAGAAATGCTATTGATTTTTGAAGGTTTATTTCGGGGTCTGCAACTTTGCAAAAGCTGTTAATTGTCTCAATTAGTATCTTTGATTATCCTCTAAGATTTTCCAAGTACACCATCATATCATCAGCAAATAGAAATAGTTTTATCTCCTCTCTACCTATCTTTATGTCTTTAATTTCTTAATATTGTATTATTATTGTTATTAGCATTTCCAGAATTATATCAAATAATAGTAGGGAGAAAGGGCATCCTTGCTTCCCTCTTATATTTATTAGAAAAAGTTCTAGTATGTCATCATTGCATATGACATTTGGTTTTTGGTTTTGGATAGATTTTTTAGGATATTATAAAAGGTCTCGCTATGCCTATAATTTGTAGGCTTATGAGTGTTGTACTTTGTCTGTGGCTTTTCTGCAGCTGTTGAGATGGTCATGTGGTTCTGGATGTTTCAGTTTTTAACACGATTGATTATGTTGATTGTTTTCCTAATGTTGAACAATCCTTGCACCCCTGGCATAAGTCCCACTTGGCCATAATGAAGGCTTTCTTGGATAAATTTCTGTAGTCTAACAGGACTTTGTTTAAAAGTTTTGAGGTTTCTCTCACTGCCTTCATTATCCATCCTTTCTGTCTGCTCTAGACCCTTATCCTCTGGTTCATGCCCCCTCTAATTATCTAGCATCCCTCTATTCTTTGTATTCCTCATGGAAGCAAAACTTTCAAGGTATAGATTCTGGCTGCCTTACAGAGTTTGCTCCTTAGATTGCCTTTCTATTGTGCTTCAGTTCCAAAACAATGACAATCCCAAATGACAAAAAAGATACTATTCCATGGTAAGACACAGCACCCCAATGTGTCCCTAATTATGCAGCTCACTACTGATGTATATCCTCCTCCTGTTTACCTTTTTTTCCCCATTTGCCTCAAAATCTTCTCCCTGGGTTCATGCTTCTCCCACTCCTCCAGATACCAGCTGCCCCCAGGAGTTCCAATTTCCCCCCACCCAAGATAGTATGAGTGGTCTCTCCAAGCACCAAATTCCCCTGAGCACAACCTGCAAAAGGGGATTTCCCTTCACAGAAAATCCTTCTTCTCTCATAGGAGGAAAACCCTCCCACCACCAAAGCAAGGCCTCTCTCCTTTCCCCCTCCATTTTCAGTCCTTCCTCCCTTTTCCTCACCTACTCCGTTATAGTGCTTCTGTTTCTGAGGCCATAGAGGATACCCTCATCATTGCCTTCAATTTGACCTGGGAACATCACATACTTTCCTCTATCCCTCTAGTCATCTTTCATCTCCCATTTTGTAATGTAGAGCTACCAAAAAATATTATTTCTTCACTGTGTACCATTTCAAACAACTTCCCAAGTTTCTTAGAAGAGCTCATTTTTATTATTTCTTGTGGCAAAATAGTCATTAAAATTATATTATATAATTAAAATTATAAAAAATAATTAAATTTATATAGTATAATTCAGTCACTTCCTGGTAAACATGAACTCACTTTATAGAAACAAACAAACAAAACA